GAGAAGCCAAACACCAGAAGGCAATTAATGTATCAAATCGAGATGTATTCGCTGGCGATCTCGTGGTATCGAAAGGATACCGAGATCGTGCCAGAATACAACCTTGGTTACAGAACGTAACCGAATTCGCGCGAAGTTACAATCAAAGTGTAAGTAAAAGAATGGAAGCACAAAATAGCTGTCATTAGCACAGTCAAACAAAAGCACGTTAAAACAAACACTGGTTCAGTTGGTTATAATAATATTTGTTTTTATTAAACCAGTCGTGTTCTCGTGATAAATGTGAGTCACTACACATTTATGCTGAACTGGTCAAATGACATATCCTGTCCTTCGCATTGGTAACCACTAGTGATCGGATAGTCAACAACACTTGTACCAACAATGCACAATCGTTTTAATAAGTGAACCGATTAGTTTCATATTGAGGAAGTTGATGCACTCTCTGCCAGAGTCTGGTGATCTCCAGAATCCGATATACAGATGCAGCCAGCTCATCTACAGCGTTATTCCGAAATGAAATAAGCACTGCCTGCACCTTTTGGGGAAGCTTAAACAAGAACAGTTGTCTAAAGAGGCCTTCGTCAAAAACCCAATGACCAATAACCCCTCACATCCGTGGTAACATGTCTGTTTCTGGGCCATGTTGTAGATCAATGTTGTTGAAAAGTTGGTCTAACCTCTGTCGGTCGGTCATCCGTTCATGTTCAAGAATAGCCGTTTGAGTTTCACAAGGTTCTGAAACATCACTAGTAAACATATTAGGTGTGACGTACCAGTCGAATTCGCGCAGTAGTTCCTTCGCCACCGCGAAGAACTGAACACGTTGGTCTGTCACGCCGTATCCATGGAATTCATTTTCCGCATAGCAGGACCCGCTCCGTGGTTGTCACGCCAAACTCGTATCAGCTGAAATGAAGGTGGCAAAATAGTTTTGATATTAAATAATTTAGGAATCCGTTCTGTCATAATGAGTATAAAGTATAGTAATGAACGATGAAAAGGTATTCGAAAATACCATAAAAATATTACAATATGTAAAAATTAGATTTTTAAAAAATGATATACATAGTCTCACCAAGGAACGGACTCACAGTTCACGAATTGGTGTACCAGATCACATCAGGCTCACCACTAAAGATATCACAAGTAATCAGAGTTTGGCAATGCTTTAACCAGCATCACCTTTTATAATCGGATTATACCAAGCCAGTCAAATCAGAAGTCAGAAGTGAAGAGGTTCGAAGATATATCTGATAGAACCTCGATAGACCGATAAGTAAGTAATCTAAGCTGGCTAGCGGTTGTAGGTGAGTCCAATAAAACTAATGTGGTCAGCATAAAATGTCGAAGACTTACAGAGATTTCGATTTTGATGATTTATATACCGCTACACTTTTCCTTATTAATTTTATTGTGGAACAGCGACTGACAATAAACAAATTGCGTTCAGTGACAGTGCAAAAACTTTGGAGCAGTCTGTGATTCATGATCGCCATGTCGATTTCAGATTAGGCTGTTTTCAAATCAAGTAACAATCTATAATCCGCTGTCTTGAGTAGAACAATCCAGTTTATACGATTCCCAAAATCACAAAGGTTTTTACATTACATTGTGTTACTAACAAGTATCAAAGTAGTTTGTATTCGTCAGAGCAATTTTCTAACCTCCAAGCTTAAGTATCACGTAAATCAAATGGTATAAAAAGGCATAACTGACTTGATAAAGACAGCGATGACTGTTGTGACTTTGAATAACTTACCATGTCACTGATATGAAAAAACGGATATGAATAAGAAATTCATCTGACTATGACATTTTTATGCTATTTCTGACGATGCATTCTGTAAGGAGACATCGACAGTTTCTCTGTATAGCTTCTAATAACCAATAAGATGATATAAATCAGTTGAATAATCGATTATCTCTACAAAATTCCAAAGAAATATGGATAGTGATTGATCACATCTTTCTTCATCTTGATTGAACTAATCTCGAATTCGTTAAAAGTTCTAACATGTTTTCCCAATACTTCTATAACATCATGGTGAAATATAGTTCTGTAAACAACCATATAATTTAACAAATAATCTATTTTTCAAAGTGAAGATTGTAATGTAGTACTTGGGGTTAATGAGTGGAAGACTTTTGAGGACTAGTCAATAGATAATTAGCCCGAGCAGTATCGGGTAAGATTACAGTTTATTAGTCTGTATCTCACTATCTACTTGCGCGATTTATCACCATCACTAGATGATTAGTTTATTCCGATGTTTTCAGCTATTACCATCCCATTTATATATGTGACCATAAGCATTTGTGCATGATAGCTATACTTGTATCTTTCGTCTCTATAAATTTTGAGTCATATTTTAACCAAATTGAGTAACCATGTCCCCTTACTATTTCTCTTCTTGACTTTATTCACTAACAAAATATGAGAAGTCTGTGATCAAAATCTTACTCGTACCTGATATAATCTAAATCTCTACAAAATGGATTGAGTTGACTTTTTCTTTTACCTACTCAAACATATTTCTTTTATTCACTTTTTATTACTGACAAATATATTAGTAGCTCAGTTGTACTCTGAAATAGCCATTTGTGATTTACATTGTAAGATAGATTTAGCACGTTTTGTCTAACATTATTTTAAATAATCACAAGAACACTTTCATTGTTAATGATTACTTATCAATAACTTGTCAAATATCATTGTAAACTATAATTTTTAAGATGGTTAAACAAATGCGGACACTCATAAGTTGATTAGCAACATCTTCGACTGTATTGAATCTACATAAGAACAGGAATCAGGAAGTACTTCCATCGTTGTATGCTTTATTTAAAGAAACAAACACATAAACTTTGGTCACACAAGTATAAAGGAATTCAAGTCATCAAGATCAGATGCTAAGTGTTTATAAATTAACAGAGCACAGAAGCAGTTGTGTCTAGATGATATTCAAAAAGAGTCGAAAACCATTACAGAACTCTCACGACATGAGAAATTGAAGAAACTCATCATCAGTTTGTTTTCGTGAAAAGTGGCCATCTCGCTAACTTCGTTAAAAAAGTCTCTGAGTAATTGAACTAGGATGTAAAACTAACCTCAGAATTCGAGAAACGGATAATACCGCTATATATGAAAAACACTAAGAAATTATAAAACCCTTTGAAATTATAGTCCCTCATAAATCAACACAACATTATCTCGTTTTATACAGATCAAAAGATATAGATGTAGAAATTGATAAATTCGATGTTATCTGCAACATAAAGTGAATCAACTGAGAGAAGCACTAAATTAGATAATGTTCGTATCCACCTTCACTTACTTATAGACAAATAAAAACTAGCAGTGAAATAACATGAAATAGTTCCACTGATATAATATTTTAGTGTTCTGAAAAATAAAACTAGGAACTGGGGGCGATCTTCACTGAAAAGCTTCAATACCTACTTAAGATATAGATGACTAGTTTGGAAAATGGAATGAAGCATATGAAAATTGCATTCTACTATGTTAATCACTACTACAGTAAATAATATGGGATAAAATATGATCAAATCTGATGGAGTTCTGATAGGGTATTAAAATCATGTTCATAAACGTTAAATATGAAGTATATTGTTCATTTTGATGGTGGCTGGAGGTAGTCGACAGGAAACCCTGGACCCGAGTTTCGTGCTACTTGGCACTCGTCAGCAAGGTGTACCTCTAATCTTGAGGTAACTGGTGCTCTCTGACAGATTCGATCCCGTGTCACCCAGCTTCACAGTCAGGGAGCATCATTGCCGAGTCACTTAGACTGGTGGCCACATTGCAACTTGGTCGATAGCAGTCGATCTGCATTAAGAAAGACTTGAAACACATGAGATTGATCACCACCCAATGATCAATCAATTGCGATTGTTCATTTCATTTATCTAATCAAATTTACAAGAATATCAATGAATAAAGAGAGATACGAACTCCGCCTGGAGCTCCCTCTGAAGCTATTGTCAATCCCAAACCCGGATAAAGAAGGAGGGTTGGACATGGGATTAGTGACTCCATCCCGTAGAAGACTAACTTGCTAAGAAAACGCTCACCAGAAAGAAAAATATTTTAAACTATTCAAACTCTGCCTTGGAATTTAGAAGGTCTTTATTTAGAAGAGTTATGAAGCCGAGTTCCTTCGGAAGTCACAAGGCTAATGCTTCTTCTGACAACCATAGTAACGATTAATTCATGTACATGGAATACTCGTACAATGTGAAAAACCAGGAGAGTCTTCTAAATTACTACAGAAAGAGAAATACAAATACTTTCATCAGTATAAAAAAGTGGATATTTTAGTCTTCAAATAATAAATTAATAATCATTTCATAATGTCAAAATTCATTAACACATCTCATTTATTGTCTATATATAAAATATGAATTGCGCCATATGGTCGAATGATAGCCAATCACAATTCAACAAGATTTTGATTGGTCAATTCATTTAAATGTTTATTATTTCTTAAATAATTAGCCTAAGGGGTGTTGCTTCAATATGATTGGGTAAAAAGAAAATGAAAGTGAATTCCTCCTTTAAGAAAGATAAATTATTATTTATCATTTTGATAATCATTCAAGTTATTTTAGGATCATATTTTATTTCTCTTCAATTCATGGAACTTTCTTATTTCATTCAATATTTGATCACTTTAATAGTTTACATTAAATTGATCTATTCAACAACAGAGTTGAATCAACACCACCACCAACAACAACAACAACAACAACTAGATCGTTTAGCAACATTTTCATTAAAATTTCTAGAATTTCATAATCATGCACATCGACGTATTGATGGTAGTTGTTGTGGTCGTCCTAAACAATCATTATCTTCATTAATAACTACTATAAAAGTAGAAACAGAAATATGTAAAGCAGAATGTGCATTAGAATTTCGTATTTGTATTGAACCTTATACAGTAATTAATATATTATCGAATAATACAAAAATTTACAATGGTCCTTGTATGTACGGTGAAGTATATACTGGTCATTGGGGTAATACAGATATTACATATGGATTATTAGAAGCCAGTGTACACTCTATTGGAATTATACATCCATGGCCGGTAAGTTAATGACTGGTTTATTGTAATATTAAGTTTATTTTATGAATATTATACAATATCTGAAAGGGATTTTAATGATTGTAAACTAATTCAAGAGAAAGATTATTGAAAAAATGTATGCGATAATTACTTCGAACTGTTCGAAATCATGTTTATACATAGAGAATGAATTTTAAGATACATTCAACTTACTCGAAAATAAACAGAATACACCCATTTAGACATTAAATAAGAAAGATCAATTCAGCGAACTCATTTTCAAAGCTGTACAGTTGAAAAATATATATACAGGATGATAATAATACTGATAGTAAACTTGTTATACATGATGACAGTGAAACAACCAGACTGCATCTTCTTTGAATCGCCGAAGCAATAGCTGTACATCCGGAAAAACCAGAATTGTATGTGCAAAAGAGACTGGTGCAACCTCTTCTTCTACCATGGTCTTAATGTATTAAAATATTTGTCTCTTTCTTCATACTCTTCTTCCTTTACAGCCATCTGCTGCACTCTCCATCTTCCTCTTAAATCTTCTACCGCTAACTGGTTCATTTTGTTTCCACGATCATCCTTATTACATTTTATCTCAATTTCAACATTTATCTTATCATGCTAAGCTATCCTTTCTCAATGATAATTTCCCTATCTAACCTTTGATGAATACTTAAGCCATTAACAATCAAACGTTTATTAAACTTTCCTTGTTTTAAAATTTCTTTAATACCTTTGTTTATTTAACCTCACTGTCACCATGTCTAACCGAAGTTTATTATCGGTATTATTATTATCACGTTGAAATATGTATAAATATATTTGCGATTGTACAGTATTGAAAATGAATTCGCCGAAAAGAGGGGGAGAACACTTCGCTGAACTAATCTTTCTTAATTGAAAATCACAATAAATTTCATTTACTGAGTTGCTTCAAATTACCGTTATAGTTAATTTATAATCTAACGAGTCGATCATTCTATACCCTGAATAATACACATCATATTTGAAACATGTTTCAACTTTATCGGTTAAAATTTTTAAAAAAGGCAAAAACAACCATTCACATTTATAAAAAAGTTATTCAACCGAAACTCCTTCTGGTTAAATTTCCTTAAACAAAAAAAGACTCCATTAAGCGATTGATTTAACTAATCACACTTGATGATACACAGTCACTATCTCCTTTTTACCTTTGGGCTAATGTTATGCATGAATAGGAAACTGATAGGGTTCAATGCGTGAAAGTAGATGAACGCAATAAATGAGTATTAAATTATACACTGAAAATAAATAAAAACCGTATATGAATAAATTGACTTTTATATGTTTCAATTACATTGTTCGGTAGTCCAATTTTAATAAACCATACTGAGTAGCCCTATGATAAGCAGTATAATAGGATTGAACTGTTGTAACTAATTCACTAAGCCATATGATCTATTCGTTCTTAGTATCGCCCTACTAAGTAGTATTGTATATGAGTAGCTCATCTATTACTTCCTTACTTACCCCTGTTACTCCTCATGGAGGAACATAGGCTGACTATCAGCACTCTCCATCCAACCCTGTCCTGGGCAATCCTTTCCAACTCTTTCTAGTTTTCATTCATCTTTTTCATATCTTTCATACACATAGTTCCCTTTATTATTTTAACGAGAGCACGAACAAAGGTTGGTGCAGAATAATATGAATTCATTTTATTTCGTTAGGTTCTCATCAGCTGCTTACAACCTAAAATATTTGAAATTCAACATTATTACAGATATTGACATACTTATACAACAGAGGGCGATGAAGGATGAATATATGTAACATAGTGTAGCAAAGATTTCGATAGAGTTAATGAGGTCATAAGATTTTGTTTCGAACATATAGAGTTTGGGAGGGAAGGTTCCAGAAAATTGAAATAGTGATTAGAAATCATATCTGCTTATATTTCTCGAGGTAATGTGTTCTTCGGCCTTCGACTTTTCCGCTTCTCTTCAGCATTCCAAGTTAGGGTTTGCCTCGTGATATAGTTTGATGACTTCCGTAATGCATGTCCCATCTATTTCCATCGTCTTTTCCTAAGTTCCTCCTCAGTTGGAAGCTGATTTGTTCTCTCTCACAGAAGGCTGTTACTGATGGTCTCTAACCAACGGATGTTGAGTATCTTGCGTAGACAGCTATCTATAAAGACTTACACCTTCTTGATGGTGGTTGTTGTAGTCCTCCAACTTACAGCTCCATACAATGGAACTAACTGTCTTGACGTTCGTATTGAAGATTCTGACTTTGGTATTGGTTGGCAGTTGTTTTGAGTTCTATATGTTCTTCAGTTGAAGGGATGCGGCGCTTGCTTTGTCAATCCTCGCCTTTACGTCTGCATCTATTCCTCCTTGTTCATCGATGATATTTCCCATGTAAGTGAAAGATTCTAACACAGACTAATCAAGCGCAAATCCGAATACCATCAACTAGCAAATACAAACACTCGAAAACTGCAATAACTTAATTGTACGATTCTATAGATAGTTTACATTTTACTAAAATTCCTAATCGACAATTTTTCTGACTAACTGATACGAACTGACTAATTAATCAAATTGTTAACACGAACCCCTTAACGATGAAAACAGACAATTTTTCATTCGTTCCAACACATCCAAAAATGAAATTGTCCTATTCATTTCCATTTTCTTCTACTATTGCTCAACATGAGTTGTTATTTACCTTATTTCTAATTTGATTCTTAATGTTTTGAAAGTAAGATCCTGATCAATTGAAAACATTCGTTATTTGCAAGTATTTCTAAGAAGTATTTTATGCATGTTTGTTAAAAGTGGAGTGTTCGAATTTTTCACATGTGGTTCAACATCGAGGTGTACAGAACAAGCTGTGAACCACATGTGGAGAGATTCGAACACTTCACTTCTACCTGAAGTTTATGCTGATGATGCCGTTCAGAAAAACGATGAAAGCATCACGACCGAACTATCCAGCTCAAAGAACAAAACTCCATCAATCTCATCCATCTGAGCTACAAATCTTCGCCACCATCTTGAGAATAGTCCTTTCAGGTTAGATTTTATTTGATGTTTAAGAGTTAGGTCTCAACTTGATTATGATACACTATCCATAGAAATAGAAATTCTTATTTGATACGTCTAACACTATAATTTTTAAAACAACTAGTTCCTTTGATAAATTTCGATAATGCAATGAGTAGACGAAAGTTTATCAGAATTATGTGATAATATATTTGCGCAAAACACATACATAGGGAGGAGCAATGGTGATTTGCAATGGGTGAACACATACCAAAATAGCTGCAGAAACAAATGAATTCCAATGATCAAATAAGATCACAGGATAGACAGACATCATCCTCCACTGCGAAACATTTGATTGAGACTGGTCATAAGGTTGACATCAAATCAGCATATCTAGTGTTATACAAAAGTCTTTAAGGAAGTATAATAAGATTTATTGAAGCCTTGGCCATACTGAAACTGAAACCCCCTTTATGTGTTCAAAAACAATTTGTTCTTGCTCTTAACCTACCCTGGTAATACTGATTTATTATCCAGAGTGGTTATCACATTATAAGAGATGGTTAGTGATTAGCAGTGGAAACCAGGTGATGCGTTTCGTCCGACCTCGGACTTGAACCCAGTACCTTTCTCTCCAAACGCCATTACGTTATCCTTTTAGCTACTGAGTCACATTCTTCTCGTGTACTTTGTTTTTTTTTCTTTGTTACGGTTTACCTTTAACCTGTCTAGTTGACCTTTTAGTTTTCATATAGAAATGTCTTAACAAGTATATTAGGTGTGTTCAGATTGTTCGAAGTGTATTGCGCAAATATATCATCACATAACTTTGATAAACGTTCTTCTACCCATCGCATTATCGAAACTATAATTTTTACTCTATGTTGTTAATATACAAACATTTCCGGCGCTGGTTACAAATGATACTTGAATTTTGCTCATTCTTCCAATCTCGATTGACTTATTACTCACCAAACTGTACTTTTACTTAAGTCTGTTTTGTGTATACCTCAAGTGGTAGTCAAATAGGTCATGAACATGTAACTCACTCAATTCAATTTGATTTAGATAATCAATTCATAACAAAAATGGCCATCATTTTATTAATCTGATTCAAAGTGAAGTAAATCAATGTTTACTTGATAAATGGGTTGTATTGTAGCGTGGCGTCGAGTTGAGGTAAACTATGAACACCGCTACCAATAAACACGTGCCAAATAAATCAGAAGGCGAAGGTTGGACGTAACAAAATAAATCCATAAAATCCCCGAGAAGCCAAACACCAGAAGGCAATTAATGGACCAAATCGAGATGTATTCGCTGGCGATCTCGTGGCATCGAAAGCATACCGAGATCGTGCCAGGATACAAGCTTGGTTACAGAACGTAACCGAATTCGCGCGAAGTTACAATCAAAGTGTAAGTAAAAGAATGGAAGCACAAAATAGCTGTCATTAGCACAGTCAAACAAAAGCACGTTAAAACAAACACTGGTACAGTTGGTTATAATAATATTTGTGTTCTCGTGATAAATGTGAGTCACTACAATATCTTGAATATAAGTTGTTTGAGTGCTAAACTATTGTGAACCATTGATAAATATACAAAATGATTAATGTGTACAACTAGGTTATTCACACACTCACCTACTTACTTACTTACTTACTTACTTACTTACTTACTTACTTACTTACTTACTTACTTACTTACTTACTTACTTACTTACTTACTTACTTACTTACTTACTTACTTACTTACTTACTTACTTACTTACTTACTTACTTACTTACTTACTTACTTACTTACTTACTTACTTACTTACTTACTTACTTACTTACTTACTTACTTACTTACTTACTTACTTACTTACTTACTTACTTACTTACTTACTTACTTACTTACTTACTTACTTACTTACTTACTTACTTACTTACTTACTTACTTACTTACTTACTTACTTACTTACTTACTT